CGCAGGTTAATACATAACTTAAAAAAAAATTAAATTTATTATTAGTTAAGGTTAGTGTTCAAGCTAGTATTAAGAAGATATATTTATATGCAAAATTAAATATTAAAAATTTTTAATTAGAATCCCAGGACTAGTTTACATAATGAAATTTCGAGATATTTAAAATTTTGACTTTTTTCTTAAGTTTTTCTAATTTTTCATTCATTTTTGTTATACAAGATCCTGTGATCTAATTGGTGATCATATTAACCTGCAATATAGCAACCTGCAATATTTAACATTATCCAAAAAAAAATTTATTTAACTTATTCCTTAGAATATAGTAGATAGCAGTAAATTTGACTATATTTTACACTTTTTAGCTCTGATTTATTTTTTAAAACCTTAAAATAATTAAATAAAATATTATACAATTATATATATATATATTTCTTTTATTGATAGCCTTGTCAGTATCTTTATTAGATTAAAGCATATATATATATATATATTTAAATTATCTAAACTATAGATTCAACATCATTCAGCTGCCTCTATGAGTGCTCAGATGCAGTTTTTCTCACTAATTAAGGTATTGTCCATATTAGAGAGCTGCACCAAGTAGCTAGCGAAGCCATAATAAAATAGTTTTAATTTAAAGAAATTTTTCTAACATTTCACTAATTATTAAATTCTTCAACTTTATTTTTTTCTTTATAATAATAATCTAAATCTACTCTACATCTAATTTAGCTTTGATTTTTACTCTATTATAGCTAAATTTTCTTTGTTTATATTCAAGCTTCTTTCTTTTCTTCTAGTTTATTTTGTCTATACTTATAGAAAATCTGGCTTTCAAAAGCCTTCTTCTGTTCTTCTCTTTACACTTCTCTTTTCATTTCGTAGCTTTGTATTATTTTTTCTTTTCTAAAGAGTTTATTCTATAGGTTTTCTCTGAGAGCATTCTTCTATAGACCTTCTCTTTTCTTAACTTTCTTGATATTATTCTTAAATCTTTTATTTCTAGATCTTAGTTGATTCACTTGTATCTTCTTTTTCTTTTTCATTAAAACTGAGCTTTTAGGTCTTTTGTTTCTATATCTCAATTAGTTCATATAGGTCTTTTTTTTTTATTCTGCATCTAAAAATCTTTCATTTTTCTTTTTTTTTTGGAGCCTGGTTTTCTGCCTAGAAACTTCTTTTGTATTTTAATAAAAATTTTTTGATTTTCAAAAAGTTCTATTAAAATTTTTTCTATTATTTCTAATACTATATTTTTTTTTCTTTTCCAATTCTTAAATTTCTTTAATTTTCCTGCTAATATATCTTAAACCAAACTTGTATTACTTATTCATCAGAATCTTGACCATTATATTTATTCTACTAGCAAATTTTTTCTTTTTTTTTCTAATTTTTGTCATTGGTCTATAAGTCTTCTTTGTTTACTTGATATATTATTTCTATTATCCATTCCGCTAGAGTTATAAATAAAGTTTTTGAGCTTATTTTTGTTTAAATCTGTTTTAGAGTTTTTGCTTTTATAAGGTTTTTAATGTTTTGTTTCTTGATTTTCTTTTTTTTTTTTTCTTCTTTAGTTTTTTCTTTTTTCTCTTGCTAATTTGCTGTAACAACTTCAATAGATTCTTTAAATTTTTTAACTAATGTCTTCAATATTATTTTGTTATACTGCTTTTGTTAAATCTTTCTTTGTTTTTGAAGTTTCTTACTTCAACCTAGTTCTAACTTCAACTTTATTTCAGCAGCTTGTTTTTTTCTTTGTTGAACTTGCATCTTCTCTTTTCTTTTTTTGATTTTCTTTTTAATCTTATACTGGTTTGCTACAAAGGTTTTGATAGATTCTTTAAATTGTTATACTATTATCTTTAAGGCTATTTTGTTATACTGCTTTTGTCAATTTTTCTTTTATTCTTAAAGTTTTTTGCTCCAACCTAAATCTAATTTTAATTTTATTAACTTTATTTTAGCAGCTTGTTTTTTTCTAGACTCTATTATTCATTTTATCTTATTGGTTATTTCTAAATCAGCTAGAATATTATTTATTTCTTTATATATAATGTATTTAACTAGATCTTCTTCTTTTTGTAATGCTATGAGGTAATTATGGTTGTAGTGACTTAGAGTAGTAGTTAAATTATCACTTTTCAAGCAGCAGGTCTAAAGTTCAAATCCCACTAAAGACATTTTTAAAAAAATAGGCTTGTATATTGGTAACAATTATTTGACGATTAGTTGGATATATCATCTATAATCTTGATACTATTATCTTAAGATGAAAGCTCTTAGGCAATTCAAATTTAAGAATCCAGAATAATTAAAACCCATTTAACAAGACCCAAGCAAGGAGGTAGTGAAAATCTTTGATAATACTGTAGAAAGCTAGAAACCAGAGACCAAAAAACTGGATGAAAATTCTGAGACAAGAAGGATTTATCAACTTGGCTGCCAGAGTCATACTGAAGAAAAAGGTCCTAAATTATAAAATTAGGAACCAAGAGAAGTAAAACCAAAAGATATTTAAAGCCTAGATACAATAACCTATTTGGACTAACTGGTTTAATAGTTTGAGAAGGATTGGTATAAGGACCAGTTTGATATGGGTATCAGAATTAAAATGAACCTTGTAAAGACACTGAATACTGGAAATGTGCAGTTTAATGATTAGCCCTGACTGCTAGTAGTAGTTTCAGCTACTATAGAAAGTATTTGTTGCCTAATCTGAAAATGCATAGGATATAGAAAAATTAGAGAGTATATATTACACCTCCCTAAGACAACCTGGTAGTATGAGAACCCTACTGAGTTATCTATAGAATTAGAGTTAAGTAGTGTAGTATATGTCAATCTAAGTAGTCTTTAATTAAAGCAGCACAAGGTTATAGGCTAGTATAATTGAGGTAATGGTGTAGGATGAGGGACATCAGAAAGTTTAATTAGATAACTCAAATAATAATAGGTTATAAGTACAGCATCTAGTATAGAACCCAATATTTAAAATTGGGTTGAAAGGCTTGTGGACCACAAATGATTTATAAGTTTCTGCAATTAAAATCTGAAATATATATGCTAGCTTCACAAATAAATTTGTGAATTTGCAGATAGATATGTTCAAATTTGCATACAATATATTTATATGTGCAACTAAATCCATAGAATCTGCAAGTAAAGTTTATTATTTAGTTGCAGCCTGCAATTAAATTAAAAATTGAATTTCAGACACTGGTAAAACCTAGTAATAAGTATCTACTTAATTAGATACTCAAAAGATGCAGATATGGCTAGAATATATTCTTGTTAACCAAGAATATACTACTAAATATATCTAATAAAAATTTGTCTTTCCGTGATATTGCAAAGATAAAAAAAAAAATTTTTAAGAAAATATATTTAACTCTAAAAAAATATATAATTATATATTTTTTTAAATTGACTAATTAATTACTAAAACTTGGAACTTAGTTGTGACATTTTAAAATATTGGGATATTGGAATATTAGAATATAACAAAAAAACTTGAAACAGTAAAAATATATAACACTAATTATAAATATAATATCTAATATAACTTAGTAATAGGCAGACTACTAAAATCAGTGTTGGCCTATAATCTTATATAACCTATATGACCTTTATGACCAGTTATAGGTCATTTGGTCATAACGAAGATTAATAAGACTTATGACCTTTTTTAATATAGTAAGAATCATAGTAAAGATTTTTTTCATTAATATTTGATATGACCGGATGACTATGACCAAAAAGTCATATGATTATATGACCAAGGTCATATAGGAAAAAAAAATGATATGACATAATCATTGGCCAACACTGACTAAAATAGATGCCAAATAACAGATATAGCTGATATGTACTTTTCAAATATATATAATAACTTTTTTATGCAATAAAAGCATACTTGACCAAAAAGATCACCTTAATACTAAAAAAAAAATTACAATTTTATTCTAAATTGATTTATATAAAAAAAATCTTTTAAAATATTAATTTAGGCTTTTTTCTCAGCATCTAGCCCATATTTACTCTTGTTTATATAAAATATCTAATCAACTATATACAAATTTTACTAGTTAGACAAACAATTAAGAATTAATGCAGTATTTGATTTATTTTATAAATCAAATATAGCATTTCTTCTAATTATATTCAATCTATAAATAAAATTTTAAACTATTCAGTAGTTTAGATTATAGATAAATTAATCCAAACTTTTTATTACTGTATATAATTTTTAATTTTATTATATTTGTACTAATACAAATACAGTCATCCTCCTCTATAGTCACCTCTTATATAGTCACACCCTCTTTATAAGCACTATTTTTAAAAAATTATTGACAATTTATTTTTTTAAAAAACTTTATATAATCACAATAATTTAATATTTTATAATCAAATCTTTTTTATGTAAGACAAACCGCGTGATTATAAAGGAGGACGACTGTAGTAACTCCTTGTAATTACTATTTCAAAAATTACTAATAAAAATACAAGAAAACCTTACTTTAATACCAAAAAAAAATAACAAAAAATTAATCATATATTAGAAAATTATTATTTTTAATAACTAAAAAACAAAGGTTGCGAATAAATTAAACAGTTTTTTGTCACTAAATAGTTTTCGTCTATAGTCTCAACTTCATTCTTATAACAACATGCTTTATAACTATTAAATATTCTATTTATTTATATTTATACATATATAAATATTTATTTATAAAAAGGTTAACAAAAAAAATTATCTTTTAAAATTTTTCTAATAACTTCAGATAGTATTATAGTGCGATTAAATGTCCATTTTTTGACAACCTAGTGCGATTCCGATTCTTTGCAATGCGTATGATACTCATGCTCTTCCATTAAATTATCCAATTCAGATAGATTAGAAAGCTTAATTTTACATAGCCAACCTTTTTAGTTATTGAAACAAAAAATATCAATATATAAATCAAATAGTGACCAAATAGATGAAACCTTACAAATAATTAAATACCATCAGCTTCAGGACTTTCGTTTATTAACCCAGGAGACTTTTCTAATTTTTTATTAACTTCAACAATTTCTCCACTTACGGGAGCGTAAATATCGCTGGCCGCTTTAACACTTTCTACAGCGCCACAATTTCCTAAAAAAATAGAAAAGAGAGAATGTGAAATATTCATTTTTTAATCTTATTACATTAAAAATTTAAGTATTTACCAGACTGTTCAACAACGGTACCAATTTCAGGTACTTCAACATAAACGACATCACCAAGCGAATTTTGCGCATAATGCGTGATACCAACAGTTCCTAAGTCCTTTTCAACATGAATCCATTCATGCTCTTTTGTGTACTTTTTGGCTACATAATTAAGTAAATTCCACGTTCGTTCATCTTTCGAGTAATAGAAAATAAAAGACACTGAAAGAGTTATACATACAACTATATTCTCTAAATGAAGCTCCAAACCGAGAAGCGAAAACGCTTCTAAATTCGTTTTTAAGGATTGCACTTCTAAATGCGGGAATATACGAAGGAACTAGCTTTGGGGAAATGAAGCTAAGCATTTTTGGAGTGAACATAATGGTTAGAAGTCAAAAAAGATATTCGAATAATCTGGTTTTACATGAGTTGTTAATCGGCCAATAGAAAGCAGCCATTAATTTAAACTTTATCAAAAAATTTTGTGAATTTAGGTTAGCTTGGATCTTTGACTATCTACTTTAAACGGACCACTTATTTTTTAATTGCAGATAGCCACGTGTGTTGTAAATCTTACGTACGTACGTACGCCCTGGCCAGGGACGATTTTCTGCGGCGATAAATTGTCGACTTATAAACCCTGCTTTCCATGATGTTTCCGTGCCATGTCCCTACTTTCTGCGAACATTCCGTGCTATTTTTAACGTATTCCACGTTTTTAACCAAATCATAAAATGCGAAAATCATCGTCCCTGGCCCTGGCTATTTATGTTGAATGTTACGATTTAATTCTCAGTTATTCAAATATTTTAATTGATTTTAACCGTGAATACTGATCTCTATTATTAAAGTATAAAAAGATATTTTTGAAATTAATTATAGATTGTAACAAAGTAAAAGGATAAAAATAGATTTTAAAAAATGCAAATATTATAATTAACTCGTAATCAAGTAAATACATATAGCGATAGTAGCTGTATAAAATGTTTAAGATTATATATTTAAATATTAATTAGAATTTTGCAAAAAATAATTTAATTTGTTAAATATCTCAGAATTTAGTAATTCAATTTGAATGAATTTTATTAAAAATATCTTTTTAAAATCTTAAAAAAATTTATTTAATAGCTGACAAGTAAATCATAAGTCACCTGAACAAAAAATTTGTTTTTTTATATATAAATTATATTATAGGCCCAAAAGTAGAGCACTTCTATTTAAAACTTTTTTTTATTAAGTAATCACTCTTGGCTTTTAATGAAAGTTGTAGAGTTTATCGAATAGTAATAAGAATTATATATGCCACCGAAATAGGTTTTGAAAAAATATCATTTTGTCTCTATTAGAGCAAATTAGAATTTTTTATATGCAAGAGCAAATCTAATCTAGGTAGTTATGTTTTTTATAATTTTATCTTTTCAAAAAAAATATCAAAAAATTTCATCTTTTAAGGGTAGGGTAAATGTAGATCATTTTCTATATAAGGATATCAACTAAAAAAATTTTACCCAAAAATTGAACATACGTTACATATAAAAGTTTTTAAAAATCTGATTTTTTTTTATAAAATTTTTACAGTATATACATTAAACTTATCTAATTATAACAATAGAATTTGAATCTTTATTATATTCGAAAAAAATATACTTATATATATCGTTAATTCTTCTTAAGTTAATTGAAATTTGCCTAAGTTACACAGCATAAATAACATATGATCATCACCTGATTTTAATTAAATATTATTATAAAAAATTTTAGTAACATGATCATTATTGGAATGTAGATCATTTCACCCTATCCTTAAATAAAATAGATCAAAAACAATTTTGTTTTCAAATTTTAATTTTAGATTTTTAATTTTATTAGCATATATAGTAAGAATATTAAAATTAGCCTGGTGTTCTTGAAAAATCTTTAAAAATATTTCATTTTTTTTTTTTATACCTTCGCAATGTTGCGGAAGGGTAGATTTTTATAAGTATTTTAGTAGTACATTCTTGGTTAATGAGAGTATATATAGCCACACGTGTAACTTTTGGTCACCTAATTTAAGTAGTCTGCCCAAAGGTTTTATACTATATGCTATATCTATAACCTAACTAGGAGATTACCTATTTAAACTTTCTGATGTCTCTGGTTCTGCACCACCACCTTAACCACATCAGTCCATAACCTCATGTTGCTTCTTATTGAAGGTCACTCAGATTGACATCTGCTATACTACTTGTGCCCTAATTCTATAGATAATCCAGTAGAGTTCTCATACTATTGGGTTGCTCTAGGGAGGTATAGTACATACTCTCCTAATCTTTTTATATCTTACACACTTTCAGATTAGGCTATGAATACCTTTCGCAGTAGCTGAAACCACTACTAGCAGTCAGAGTGAACCATTAAACTGCACAATTTCGGTATTTGATGTCTTTGCAAGGTTCATTCTGATCCTGATACCCACATCAAGCTGGTCCTTTACTGATCTCTCTTCAACTACCAAACCAGTTAGCCTGGACGGGTCATTGTACCTAGGCTTTAAGTGCCTTCCAGTTTTATTTCCCTTGGTTTTTAATTTCATAACATAGAATCTTTCCTTTGGTGTGACTCTGGTGGCCAGGTTGGTGGACTCTTCTTGTCTCAGAGTTTTCGTCTGGTTCTTCAGTCTCCGGTTTTCTGACTTTTCTGCAGTATCATCAAAGATCTTCACTATCTCCTTACTCGGGTCTTGCCAAATGAGTTTCAATTATTCCGGTTCCTTGAATTTGGATCGTCTAAGAGCTTCTATTTCGAGATGGTAGTACTAAGATTACAGATAATATATTCAACTAATCGTCAAATAATTGTTACCAGTATACAGACCTATTTTTCTAAAAACATCTCTAGTAGGATTCGAACTCTAGATCTGCCACTTGGAGAGTGACAACTTAACTACTACTCTAAGTTACTATACTCTTTAAAAATATTTCATTGATATAAAATTTCTTTAAAAAAAAATTAATTTTTTTTAAAATATTTTATATATTAAAGAAATGTTTTTTAAAGATTTTTTAAGAATTACCAAGTCAATTTTAATATTATTACTATTATTATATAGAGAAACCTATAACAAAAGACAGCTTTGAGCTAACTAATTAAAAATTAAAATTTTTTATAATAATTATCTATTTAATAATTGTTTTTATAAAACAATTTTTTAATCATTAAATATACTAATAAAAAAATATATAAATTTAGTTTCTTTAATACAACATATTATATACTGTAAATAATAATCATATATTAATTTTGGTGATAATTATTTTAAAATTTTATAATCATTATGAAGCTATTTTTGCTGTAATGTTTTTTATATATGTTTTGATAAGCTTTACAACTTCAGTTAGAAGTCTAAAAGTAATTTACTTAATAAAAACAAGTTTTAGATAGGAGTATACAACTTTTAGATTTATAATTAAATTTATATATAAGTTAATATAAAAAAATAAACTAGTTTTTTATATCTAGCTAGGTTTGAAAAAATTAAAAACTAAAATTTTTTTATATTGTAGTATACAGATAATTAATCAAATTGCACAATATTTTAGAGAGAAATTTGTCTAATTGGTTAATATAAACTAATTATATAAATAATTTAATATTATACTAGGAATTAGAAACTGATATAAGTTTGGAGTATTATTATATTTAGTAATAACTCTGACTATATTATATAGTAATCAATTATTGTTCTTAAAATAGTTTTATAATCATATATTATACAGAGAGACAGACAAAAAAATTTGAAGTTATGTATTATTGATATGTTAATTATAATAATTATATTAATGCATCAAAACGAAAATGTTTAATAGCTGAAACACATCAAAAATATAACTTTTGTATCATTTAATATATAAAATTTAAGTATTTATCCTATGCTTTGGATAATAATATAAATATGTTTGAATATTGTTTAAATATCTGCTACATATATAAGTATACTGATTGTTATTAAATATTGTTTACATAATATAAATTAAATACTGTCTGCTAGACATCTAACTATTTTACAAAATAGCTAAATATTAGTTAATATTTATTTATTCTTATTAAAAAACTTATTATCTTTTTTAATACCAATGCTGTACTAGTTTTCAATTTCTGAAAATAATACTTTATTATAAAGTTTAATCTACAAAAAAAATAGTTAGCTTAAACTAAAAAAAAGTATTAAAAAGAAAAAAAAGCTATACTTATCTTTAAAACTAATTTTTAAATTGCTTATTAATCACTATTAGTTTATATTTTAACAAATTTAAAGTTTACAAAAAACAGTAGATGCCTACTGTTCCCTCCTGAGCCATCTGAATTAGAAGTTTGAGGCACTATTAGTTGATATTGAAGTACTGTTAATAGTCTGTAAAGTGGGTACTGGGGTTTGGGTAAACTTTATAAGGCCACAGAGTAAGTAACAGTAGAGGTTGTATTCTAGGGTATTATAACTGATTAACTATTAGGTTATCCAGATAACTTAATTTTAAAATTGATTAATGGTTTAATTATTAAGATATCTGGTTAACCTAAAGGATAATATAAGATAATATAGTGTAAAATATAATTGGACAAAAGTTATATTATATAATATATGTTTTAGCGATTTTCTCAAAACATAATACCGACAAAGTTAGATTGTTTTGCTATAATGCTAGCTGTTAGTCAGTATTATGCTTTTTATAAAAATAGCTTTCAAAAAATTATACTTAACCCTTTACTATAGCAATTAAGCATCATTAAAATTACATATATACATGCTAGCAAATCACAATAATAGAATGATTCAGAATTAAAGACTTGGTCTCCAATTTTAAATAAAATAAGTGCTGTATTTACTTTAAAATACATGATTTATAAATCTTGTTTTTTTTAATGCATAAACTTACTTACATAATTAATTTCTCTAAAATATTTCAAGAATCACATCAATAATGACTATGTACTACTGTATTTCGATTATTAAAAATTTGATCTTGATTCAGAATAATATTTGAGAAAATCTGCCTTGACTAATTTAGCCTTTTATATAAATATAATTAAGGCTGTATAAATACATACAGTATTAAATAATTGATAGCATATAAAGTATCACAAAAAATTTTTGATTAAAAATCATGTTTTTATTTATTATAAGAATAAGTTAGTAAGTTGGCACATGAATTATTATTGTTAAATTGGTAGAATAAAAATAGTAATAGTTAGCTAAGAATAGTAAGGCATTTTGTAAATGTGTTTAATATTTTTTTGTTTCACCTTTGTTATTCTATTTATTCAATCGTTTAGAGGCTTAATGATTTTCTAAAAAAGATAAAAGGACTGCTTAACTTTTATAAATAGTGCAATAATCACT